ATGTTTTTGATAAAATTCAACATTCCTTCATGTTACAAACCCTCAACAAGCTAGGGAACATACCTCAAAATCGTAGGAACCATCTATGACAAACCCACAGCCAACATCATACTCAACGGGCAAAAGCTGGAAGCATTCCTTTTAAAAACTGCAACAAGACCAGGATGCCCACCCTCACCACTCCTATTCCAATAGTACTGGAAGTCGTAGCCAGAGCAGTTAGGCAGGAGAAATAAATAAAAGGCAACCAAATAAAAAGAGAGGAAGTCAAACTATCCTTGTTTGCCAACAATATGATTCTATACCTAGAAAACCCCATACTCTCTGCCCAAAAGCTCCTCGTTCTGATAAACAACTTTAGCAAAGTTTCAGCATACATAAAATCAATGTACAAAAATTAGTATCATTTATAGACATCAAGAACTTCCAAGCTGAGAACCAAATCAAGAATGCAACCCTATTCACAAACATCAAAAAATGAATAAAATACCTAGGAATACATTTACCTAGGGAAGTGAAAGATCTCTACAATAAGAATAACAAAACACTGCTCAAAGAAATTAGAAATGACAGAGGCAAATGGAAAACATTCCATGTTCGTAAATTGTAAGAATAAATATTGTTAAAATGACCATACTGCCCAAAGCAATCACAGATTCTATGCTATTTCTGTCAAACTACCAACATCATTCTTCACAGAACTAGAAGAAAGCCGTTTTAAAATTCACTTGGAGCCAAAAAAGAGCCCAAATAGCCAAGAAAATTCTAAGCAAAAATAACAAATCTGGAAGCATTATGTTACCCAACCTCAAACTATACTATAAGGCTACAGTAAACAAAACAGCATGTTACTGGTACAGAAACAGACACAGAGACCAATGGAACAGAATAGAGATAATGCTGCACACCTATAACCATCCGATCTTCAACAAAGCTGACAAAAACAAGCAATTTGGAAAGGACTTCATATTCAATAAATGATACTGGGGTAACTGGCTATCTGCAACACAGAAGACTGAAACTGGACCCCTTCCTTTACCATTATACCATACCAACTTTACCCTTATACCATATACCAAAATCAATTCAAGATAGATTAAAAATTTAAATCTAAAATGTAAAATTTAAAAAGTCCTGGGAAATAACCTAGGAAATACTATTCTGGACAAAGGCCCTGGTAAGTATTTCATGATGAAGAGACCAAAAGCAATTGTGACAAAAACAAAAATGGATAAATGGGACCTAATTAAACCAAAGAGCTTCTGAACAGAAAGGGAAACTATCACCAGAGTAAACAGACAACGGACGTCGTGTGAGGAAATACCTGCAAACCGTGCATCTGACAAAGGTCTAATATCCAAACCTATAAGAAAGTTAAACTGATTAACAAGCAAAAACCAAACAACGCCATTAAAAAGTGATCAAAATGAATAGACATTTATCAAAAGACACACATGTAACCAACAAGCATACAAAAAATACTCAGTATTACTAATTATTAGAGACATGGAAATCAAAACCACAATGAGATACTATCTCCCACCAGTCAAAATACCTTTTATTAAAAAGCCAAAAAATAACAGGTATTGGTGAGGTTGCAGAGTAAAGAGAATTGTTATACACTGTTGGTGGGAATGTAAATTAGTTTAGCTAGTGTGGAAAACAGTTTGGAGATTTCTCAAAGAACATAAAACAGAATTGCCTTTTGACCCAGCAATCCCATTACTAGGTACATATCCAAAGAAATATAAATTGTTCTACCATAAAGACACATGCATGTGTATGATCATCATAGCACTATTTACAATAACAAAGACATGGAATCAATCTAAATGCCCATCAATGATAGACTGGATAAAGGAAATGTGGTACATGTACATATTCAACATGGAATACTATGTAGTCATAAAATAGAATTAGATTATGTTCTTTACAGCAATGTGGATGCAGGGAGAAGGCCTTATCCTATGCAGTTTAATGCAGGAACATCAAACCAAATATCACATATTCTCACTTATAAGTGGGAGCTCAACATTGACAAATGGACACAAAGAAGAGAACAGACACTAGGGCCTACTTGAGGGTGGAGGGGGAAGGAGGAGAAGCTCAAAAACTACCTATTGGCCACTACAGTTATTACCTGGGTGATGAAATTGTCTGTATATCAAAACTCTGTCACATGCAATTTACCTATATAATAAAACTGCACATGGATATTTGAACCTAAAATTGAGAGTGATGTTCAATTGTATTTTCTTCAAAACTTTACCCTTAGAACTCATAAGCAAAATCCAATGTACTACTACTTAACTTTAATCTCTCATTTGACGTTTCCAATCTTATAATTCTCACAAAATGTATGCCTCCTACACTCTAATATCCTTACATACTTAAATAACTCTCTAATAGATTTGGAAGTTCTATCTGTATTCTCATATTTCAACAGTGATTATCTTCCAAGGATAAAACAGTTAGACCTACTCTCTTAGAAGGCTTTTTAAAAAACAGGCCTAAATGGAGACTCAACTCACAATGTCTGTACAAGGTTTTGTCTATTTAGAGTGTATTTTAGCAAGTGCTACTGTATGGTAGTGGAGTACTGATAATCCCATTATTTGTCTGACCAAGTTCAAGTTTCCTAAACTCTCAGGTTCTATTATCATCTATCATGATCAATATACTCTGCATTGAGAAGATCACGCCATGAGTCTGAGCTTCCGCTAAATGCCTTTAATATGTATATATATATATATATATATAATTGCATTTTAGATTTTCGGGTACACGTGCTAAATGCCTTTTCTAATGTAGTTTTTTCAAAGTTTTTGAGCATTCTTTTAGATTATTCAATAATATGGGGTTCCCTGACATTGTCTTATTCTCTATTTGTTTTTGTTCTTGACACTCAAAATGAATTATAAATATCTGATGGTCAGAAACAGAATTAATTCTCAATAAAATCTAATAGGTATGGGTATAAGTGGGCACATTCTCTATCAAACCCCTAATCCCAAGAAACAGCCACCTCTAGTTGTCCGGCACTTGGATCAGCATTTCCCAGTGAAATGCCGGACACACACACACACACACACACACACACACACACACACACACACTGTTCCACGGTCAGATAAGTCTGGGGAAACCTGTATATTATATTCCCTGCTTAGAGAATATTAAGGACTGCCAAGTTCTGTAGTAAAGATTTTTATCTTTTATTTAACTCAGTTTCCCCCACAAGACAGCCCTGGCTGGAGATTACTCTGGATGTGAACGTCTCAGGGTGAAGGAAGCGGGAAACAGCTAGCTTTCTCAGAGGCATGCTTCCAAGTCAGCACCGGGAAGACTGTCATCTATCTTTTTATTGATTTACTTATTGTTCTTTGAGATGGAGTCTCTCTCTGTCTCCCAGACTGGAGTGCAGTGGTGTGGTCTCGGCTCACTGAAACCTCTACCTCCTGGGTTCAAGCAATTCTCTGCCTCAACCTTCTGAGTAGCTGGGATTACAAGCGCCTGCCACCAACCCCAGCTAATTTTTTGTATTTTTAGTAGAGATGAGGTATTACTGTGTCAGCCAGGATGATCTCCTGACCTCATGATCCACCTACCTCGGCCTCCCAAAGCACTGGGAGTGAGCCACCCACCCCCGCCCCCGGGCTATCTGTTTATTTATAAGATGAAAACATCGGGCTCAGTGATTGCTTCCAAGTTTTACAGCTACCTAGTAATACATTTGGGTTGTTACCCATTCCTTTGACCTAAGAAAATTCCAGTGATGCAGCATAGTGAAACTAGAAACACATTTTTTCAAAATATATTGGTCACAGTGTTTCTCAAATGGCATTTTCTGGGACCTTGAATTTGAATCCTAGCTCTCACATCTCTTATTTGTATGAGCTTGGGCAAATTTTCTAACCTCTTTGAGCCCCCGTTTTCTTGTCTATAAATGGGTATGTAACAGTAACCAGTAGTAGTATTATTAGATGTTACCATTAATACACTGAGGCTGAGAGGTTGAGATTTGCTCAAGATCTCACAGCTAAAAGACATAAAGCTGGAAGTGAAACCCAGATCTTTGGCTCCAAATGTGGTGTTTCCTCTACTAACCAAGTTGTTTCTACCAGTGCCCCTGTGATTATGTCTTCCTGGGGACTATCCCTGACAATACCCTCACATTAAAACCATCTTTTCTGAGCACGATGGCTCATGCCTGTAATCTCAGCACTTTGGGAGGCTGAAGCAGGTGGATCACAAGGTCAGGAGTTCAAGACCAGCCTAGCCAAGATGGTGAAACCCTGTCTCTACTAAAAATACAAAAAAAATAGCTGGGCGTGGTGGCAGCCGCTTGTAATCCCAGCTACTCAGAAGGTTGAGGCAGAGAATTGCTTGAACCCAGGACACAGAGGTTGCAGTGAGCTGAGATGGCACCACTGCAGTCCAGCCGGGGTGACAGAGAGACATTCCATCGCAAAAAAAGAAAAAATAAATCATCTTGCTCTTGCTCTTGCTCTTGAGACAGAGAAGTCTGCAAACAGTGTCCAGTTAAACTGAAGTGTAGACACTGGCTGAAGCCAGACAGAGGAAGAGGGAAGAGGGGACAGAGTCTTCAGAAAGACATTCCAGTTTCAGTCCTAGAAAATGTTTAGAAATATTGGTTCTCGTGTTCCTCTCCAGTCTGTCCACCTGAAATGGCACTCTGGTGCTGGGCCAGGCATACTTATTCTTGAACAAATATACAGTTAATTCTGAGATGCCACCTAGATTGAGAAGCACTGTTTTTTTCTGAGCAAAAATCATCGCCAAAGTTACCCTAGAACCCATCAGTGCTCACAGATCTGTGCCTGAACCAACTTGGTTCTGAAATTTTCCTTTGTTTTGCGGAAACTAGTTTAGGGTGGGCTGTGAAAAGAAACTTCTAAAAAGCCACTGGGAAAGGACTAAATCTCTGAGGCTAAGGAGGGCGGACTCAGCCTCACTTCCTCCTTCTCATCTGGGCTTCCTGTCGTCACAGCACGATCATATTTTTTCACCCTTCACTTCTCCTTTTACACAAATAGTACCGGACATCCGTGTTACAGCCTTATCTTGGCCACCTCAAGGATAATCACCAAATTCTGCCTAAAGGACTGAGGAACGGTGCCTGGAACAGGTAAGGTTGATGACACTTTTACCTGGCTTGCTGTCTAATGTGGGGTAGGACATTTTCTTAGTGGTCTCCGACATGCCTCTCTAGTAACCATACAATCTCCGGCAACTTCTCTTTCACAAATATTTAGTGCACAAAGTAAGATTGGCAAGATCCTGGTAACATCCCCAAAGGCAATGAGGTGAGAAATACTTTTACTTAATCAGGTTTCTGAATCTCTGAGTCCACATATTCACAGGCCTTAATTGCTACAGAACTTGAATTTCTCTGTGTAGTAATTCCTGATGCTTGGAGCTTTCTATGTGAGATGACACTGGGGAGATTTCCTGTGTGCTCTGGTCTTCAGAAAATTGGTCTTGTGATTTTTAAAGTGAGGAAAGAACCCACAGCCAGAGCTGTCTTTAGAAAGACAGCTAGGAGACGCAGTTCTTTTTCATTTGAGAAATTTTCAAAAGTAAAGTTAGTCCCGCTGTGATTCTTCAAAGCCACTAAACAGAAAGGTGGCTAAAAATCACACCAGGATGTGCTCAGTAACTGTATATTAGAAGGTGAAAGCTAGACACCTCTAAAAGACGCTTAGATTGTTGGCTTCTAAGAAGCAGGAAGAGCACTGTGATCTTCAGCATTTCCCCAAATTGTCACTGGTGCACAAAACATGACCATTGATAAATATAACATGAAATCCAAGTATAAAACATTGGCACTGCAGTAATTTCCAATCACGTGTATAAAACATTGGTACTGCAGTAATTTCCAATCACGTGTATAAAACATTGGTACTGCAATAATTTCCAATCACGTGTATAAAACATTGGCACTGCAGTAATTTCCAATCACGTGTATAAAACATTGGTACTGCAGTAATTTCCAATCACATGCTGTAACTAATGATGGAGGTTGCATGGACTCAGCAAGGTGATAGCCAAGCTTTTGTCCTGACTCTCTGTGACCACCACAGGAACTCTATATGAGATAGAGCTTTCTTCTTCCAAGAACCTGTGAGAATTTCATTGGATTATGCCCTGGAGCAGAGAGGAGGAAGTTCTCTTTGACTACACCCACCCATCTAAGAATCAGGGTTGAGAACAGGGCAGAGGCTCTAGATTTCCAAGAGGGGTGGGGACAGGGCAAAGAGTTCTAGATTCCAAAGCACCTCAGAGCTTATTGAGCCTTGAATTGAAAAATAAAACCAGTCTTTTTAATAAATTCACTAAATAATCAAGTGTTAGGTACCTCCTGAGGCCAGGCACTGTACTTTGGGAATTGTGGGGGAGGGAGATGAAAAGGTAGAGTGTTTGTCAGTAAAGAGTCCTACTCTTAAGGAACTCCCATAGGAGATAAGAAATATCATACTATGTGTGTGCTTTGGAAGAAAGCTGAGAAAGAGCAGAATCCTAGTTGCTTGATAAACAAAGAAGTTTTGCTTTTCAAGCTTGAGGAGAATCTGTACTATTTGAAATTGCCGTTGAATGGGAGCAAAGACTGAACTGAAACATGATTTCCTGTGATGTTTCCTGTGTGGGCCAGTTAAGAACATTTGGGTACCTTTATATTCATGGGGGATGATTCCAAGTCCATCCCTTCACAGCTGTGGTTACCACCACCTTAGCGACCTCACCTTTGTTCATTGACAAGAGACACAAACTGGAAAGGACAAAGTCTGTTGGTCCTTGGTTTCTTGTGCCCTCTGATTGACCCCTGACTGAACAGAGGCCCTCAGACTCTGGTTCTCCATTCCCACTGTGACCCCATGGCCACATATGGCACATAGTGCTGGAGATACAGGATAGCAGAGACGATTATCATCTGAAAGGAGTTGTAGAGTCTCCTCTGGAGTCGTGGATGACAGTCACAGCAATATATAAACACAATACAATGTGCTCTTTTTTTTTTTTTTTTTTTTTTTGAGACGGAGTTTTGCTCTTGTTACCCAGGCCAGAGTGCAATGGCGCAATCTCGGCTCACTTCAACCTCCTCCTCCTGGGTTCAGGCAATTCTCCTGCCTCAGCCTCCTGAGTAGCTGGGATTACAGGCACACGCCACCATGCCCAGCTAATTTTTTGTATTTTTAGTAGAGACGGGGTTTCACCATGTTAACCAGGATGGTCTCAATCTCTTGACCTCGTGATCCACCCGCCTTGGCCTCCCAAAGTGCTAGGATTACAGGCATGAGCCACCGCGCCCGGCCTCTTTTCTATAATAGATGAAGAATGTGCATAAACTTTAGGAGGAGATAGGAGTGTGGCAAAGACTCCCTGGAGAGGAGATGACTGGTGGGTTCACTTTCATAGAAGTATGGGTTTGCTATGGAGACATTCTAGACTAAGGGTGCTGTATATTCAAATTCACAGAAGTGTGTACCTCCAGGCATGCTAGAAATGAGAGAAAGCAAGTGAGACTGCAGTATAACACACCATGTTTACGGGACCACAGGAAACAGAAAGTCCTTTCTCCTACTTGGGCAAGATCACTGACCTGACAGGTCCTAGTCCCAGCTCTGGGCAGGGTTATGTCCACTATGTTCTTGTTCACACGACAGAATTGATGGGATGTGGGGTTGAAATGAGGGGGAAGAGGCAGGTTTTTTCCTCCTCAACCTAGATTATCACTTAGATCAGAAGGAAGGGTGGAGCTTCTTGTGAGGTTACAGCCATTCTTTTCAGCTTAGCTTCGGTTCCAGGAAGTACTGCATTGATTCAGTTACAGTGGCTTGTTTTGCTTTCCTCGATTAGTCACCACAGGGCAATTCTTGTACTGAGCAAGCATCCACTGTGTGTAGATCATCCTGGGCCCTGGAGACTGGGCACCTATCCTCAGGAAGCTTTCAGGACCTAGCGCTGCCACTGAAGCAAAGTAACCCAGAGAAACCAGACAGCTGTGCAGAGCAGGACTCCAGAGTGGCTGCTGGGGCAGAGGAGGGGAGGGTTGAGCTGGAGGGTGTGGGGTCAGTTTGGGAAGGCTATCTGAGGTAAGTTTTGGGAAAGAGAAAGATACGCATTTGCAAAGCCAGTGGATGACCACTCGGAGTAAAGGCCAGGGATCTCTATGCTGAGAGTTAGCGGTGAGTACTCTCTATTCATTATCCGTTTCATAAGCACAGAGCAGAATTCCTACACAAGCAGAAGCATCAATATATCATGGCTATGACCAATAATTGTTGTAAAAGAAAATAAGCCGGCCGGGGGCGGTGGCTCACGCCTATAATCCCAGCATTTTGGGAGGCCGAGGCGGGTGGATCACGAGGTCAAGAGATCGAGACCATCCTGGTCAACATGGTGAAACCCCGTCTCTACTAAAAATACAAAAATTAGCTGGGCATGGTGGAGCGTGCCTGTAGTCCCAGATACTCGGGAGGCTGAGGCCAGAGAATTGCTTGAACCCAGGAGGCAGAGGTTGCGGTGAGCCGAGATCGCACCATTGCACTCCAGCCTGGGTAACAAGAGCGAAACACTGTCTCAAAAAAAAAAAAAAAGAAAGAAAATAAGCCACAAGCATACATTATTGTCATCATTTAAAATGAGAGTGTTATATTTCAAGTATTGGTACTTGAAGCGAAGTTAGAGATTATTTTGATTCAAATAAAGTCTCCAACTCATAATGAGAGCCCAATAACTGTCCAGTGTGCTTACTTTTCGGGTAAAATGACTTGTCCAAAATCATAAAATTAGCTAATAGTTATTTAGAATGTCTTCTGATTCTCTGTGGCATGCTTTTTCTTCTACATTATACTATAGTCCCTCTTGTTAGAGATTTTTTTTTTAAGTAGGTATCATTAGACTGTATTCTTCACTTAGATAAATTCCTAGTTCATTTTAACATAAGCAAACATAAAAATACAACTTAATTGTAAATGTAATTGATCTTAAGCCAATATGCAAACTAAATACTTAACATATATTTAATTTTCCAAACCTTTTTGTTTGGACTTTCCTATTTCAGGAGAACTAGATTGAGGAATAGGGGTAAGAAGTCATTTTAATGCTGCATATCTTTTAAAACTTATTAAACTTTACTTGTTAACATAAATTTGAACTATGGCTTACTCTATATCAGGAGCAAACAAAGGTATTCAAGAATTATGTCATAATTTAGTCTTCTTAAAATAACTATTGTAGAATCTCAGTATATATAACATAGAAGACATAAATTGTAATGATTTTGAGATCAGAATCCCTTAGATTATTTATTCATTTTTCAACTTTTAAAAAAATTGACAAAAATTCATACTTATAGAAAAGTTGAAAAAATACTATGAAAAATGTCTAAACCCTTTTAACCCAGATTTCCAAACTATTAATATTTTACTTCATTTGTTTATCCTTCTCTGGCTTTCTCATTTGAGAGTGATTAATAACATGATTGATGCCATTTCCCCTAAATACTTTAGTGCACATTTCTACAAACAAATGCATTCTTTTATATAATCACTTCACAATTATCAAAACCAGGAAACGAACATTTATGCAATATTATTAACAATCTATGGATTTTATTCAGATTCCATCAATTACCCCATTACTATTTTTTATAGCAAAAGGAAATTTCTAGTCATGCATTGCCTTCAGCTGTCACTTTTGTCTCCTTTAGTCTGGAGCAGTTCCTGAGTTTTTCTTGCCGTTGATATTGTTGAAGAGTAAGGTCAGTTCTTTTTTAGAATGTTTCTCCATTTAGGTTTATCTGATGTTTCCTCATGATTAGATTCAAGTTATTTAAATTTTTGATAAGAATATCAACCAAGTGGCTTTTCTTATCCCACAAAGAGTCTTGCTTAAGCTGAGCATAACCAGCCTTCAGACACCATGGACAGGCCTCTAGGAGCGGGACCCTGCATGTAAAGTTCTGCATATTTCTACATAGGATGACAGAGAACCTCTGGTCTCTTGACCCTGTAACAGTGCTGTTTTAGGTGACTGTTCTTGATCTAGGGAGTAAGCTTATTAGAAGAGTCCCTGCCCACCTCAGCTGTTAGTAGTGTCATGCTAAGCTCCTAAAGGGGAGCAAGT